TGGCACTGGATAGATTCCACTTAATAGAGAACAAGGCATTTGTTCCATCTTCTTGATATGTATTTATAAGATTTGATTGACTCAAAAAGGACAAGATGGAAGAATATCAAATGTATGGTAACTCTACATTTGGAATCTCAGCCATGCATTGCTCAATATGTAATGAGTCTGTGAATCCAATACAAGAAAGATGGTTACTCTTGTTCCTTATGTTCTTTTGGGTACATTATATATTACTTGTTTATGAATTAATATCTGTATATCTTTATTTATATTTTACTTTATCCTTTTATCTCTTTGGTACCTAATATGAAATAATATTTTATTAAACAGAAACAAATGGGTAATGAAGTACTATACATTTACACAGCTCTTTGCAGACAAATTCTTTGCCTGTAGAATGAGAGGCATGAAGGATGGGCCGAAAGGACAGGTTGAAAGGTTAGAGTTAGACAACTGGTAGCAGACCTAGGGGTAGATGAGAGGGGCCCCAGCCCTGGGTACTGAGTTAGAGGTAGTTATAGAATTGTGGCCTCCAGGGGAATCTGTGTTATAGCAGCAGCCAGGGTGTGGAGAGTAGCAGCTGGTGCAAAATAAGACCCTCTGGCAGAGCTAGGAACTTACAATAATGTGTATTGAATACAGGCAATCCTTGACATACAACGTTTTGCACTTACAATTTATAAATTGACACCATTTCAACTTTCTGACATCAGTTTCAACTTTACAACGCTTATGCCGATGCCACGCCACACCAGCAAACAAGTTAACTGCATTGCCCATCTCCCTGGAGAACATCTGTCCAAACCTCCTTAGACACCTTCTTCAAGCAAGACAAGACAAGACTCCGGAAAAACCTGCAGCCAAAACTTCTGAGAAGACTCCAGCCAAGAACTCTTCAAGAAGTCCAACAAAGTCACCTCAGAGAAGTCCTTCCAGATCAATATGATTGCTATTTACAATATAAATACATTAATGTACCTACATTACTTTTCTATAATTGATCGAATATAAAATTCTAGGTTATTTTTGGTGAAAATAGGGTATCAGGCCTTTGTTCAGGAACTAATCCCTCATTTATAACATTGTTTCCTATGGTTCTGAGTTACAATGTTTCGACTTGAGACAGTTTTCAGGAACCAATTGTGTCATAAAGTTGGAGGACTGCCTGTATACAGTTACAAACAGTGTAGTATTGTATACTAATTATGTAGGGGAAAAAATGGTGATATCGTAATTAATTATAAATCCCTCCAGGGGACTGATAACATAATGAACCATAAATCTGAAGCATATATCAGAACTTGAACACTGATTCATAATTTGGTAATCTACTTGTCATCTATGACATCCTTCAAAAATACTGACAGGTTTTTCTTAGAAATGAGGGGGAAGTCCTCATTTGAAACATTTTCAAAAAGTACACTGTATAAATGTTTTTATTGTGTATGTACTGGCATTACCACCACATTCATACTTTAAGTGGATGGGGAGTGGCAGGATAATCAGACTGATGCAATACTGGAAACTTTTACACACTATGATACACAGCTTCAGGATTACAGGATTTATCATTTGCTCTTTTCCATCATCTTTCATTCCAGAATATCAGCATGCATTTATAAATACTAGTTAATTGATAAGGCTGCACACACAACATGACAATTAAATAACCTTTCTTACAGCCATTTAACAGATGAGGGAAATGCAATGAATGTCTGTGACAAACCCAGAAGTGGAACATGGGGTCCTGAGCCATAGATAACTGCTGCAGCCACTAGATGGCATTATTCACTGACATCCACGCATAACCATGATTGGCAGACAAGGTTCTTTGGGTGAATCTGATATCTTTTATTAGACCAACTTAAACAGTTGGAAAACAATTATTATGCAAGCTTTTGGGTTCCAAAACCCTTTGTCAGGCTAAGAATGTTTCAGCAGTTGGTGTGTGCTCCTCCTGGATAGAATGAAAAGTACAGAAGCCATAGCTGGCATGCATACAGGACAGGCAGTCAGTGAAAATACAGATTGAGGAGTCAATAGGTGAGAGACAGATTGGGGGGCGGGGGAAGAGGGGAGAGAAGGGGGATGAATAGTGGAGAGATACCTGGGGAGTCAGATGTCAGGCAGGTTGTGTGTCATAAATCCAATGTCTATATTTAGTTCATGATTTTTAGTATCCAGGAGGTTGATGAAGTAGAGTTCATAGGCTCATCTCTGGGTAGTGTTTTGTAAGTTTCCTTTGAGGATCAGGACTGAGAGGCTGGGGAGAGAGTGGTTTTCTTGTGAGAAATGTGCCCCCACAGGTAACTGGGTATTCCTGTCTTTGATAGATTTCCAGTGTGCAACCTACACCCCTTAACCATGATTGGCATTTGGTAGACTATATAAATACATAAACAGACACAGAATTAAATGCATACCTGTTTTGAAAGTGTAACATCTGTTTTCAGGGAAAATATAGTGTAATTTAACTTTAAAACAATTTGAAACTAAGGGGCTAACATGGTAAGTGCAGTAGTTTAGAAAAAGCATAATAATTCACAATGTATTAGAAAGAAGGATCATGCCTGCAAGATATACATTCTTATTTCATGCATTAATTGTATTAGTTTAGAAAATTCAGACTACATGATTTTTTCAAAACAGAGTAGTGAAAAACATGGGGTTTTCAGGTTGTTTTTTATCTTGTACTAGTTAAAACAAATGTGTTACTTAAAAACAAATGCTGCAGTCAAGAATTATATGTTCACACAATTCAAAAGCAAAACGCTCACTGATTTCAATAATGTAGAATTAAGTTGTTATTCCCAAAGAGAGAGATCTGAGAAGAAACCTGGAAGTCAGGAATTGCTTCCTGGGTTCTGGTTTTGTCTGGCTTCCCCAGAAGCCTTGGACAAGTCCCAGTGCCTCCATTCCTCAGATTTCCCACATCTAAAGTTGTGTTATTCACTATTAAATGTTCTAAGACTAAATAGTTAACATGTAAAGTGCTTGAAGATTTATAAAGCTAGACAACATGTAGGTAGTTGTGTTTTATTTCTTTAGTTCTTTGAACTACTTACCTATATATCTTAATATAGTGATGATTACTGCATACATGCTAATTTTAACTTTGTCAGGTTACAGCACATCATTACCTTCCTATGACAGGGTATACTCCAAAATAACTCCATTGACTATAGGGAGGTAAATTGATGTAAAACTGGTGTGAGATCAGAATAAAGCCCACAGAATTAAAAATATTGCAGCAGACATTTTAGGCATGATTGCTTTCCTAAATCTTGAAAAAACAGAAGAAATGCAGCCTCTTGATATGGTATATACCATATTTAAACACAGCTCTCATTCTGTTTTCAGGGAAAAATAATCTACAATAAAAAAGGAAAAATTGCTTTTAAATGTCAATAACAATTGCAGTGAAGAGAAAAGTGTCTGAAAGAGCTGTGAAAACACAATCTGAGATCATGTTTTTACCTATACAATAATGAAAAAATGTGAACTGAATGCATAATTGAATGTATTAACACAGATGATTGACAATGTATCACAGAGAGATAAAGCCAGTACCACCATTTTCAACACATTCTGATACACTTCTGTTTAGTTATAATAACTACAAGGCATTTTGTGGTTGTTCAGTATTGTGCTTTGGGTGGACATAGTATATGCTTCTGAGTAGTCTCGTTAGGTGATGGGACTACTCCTACAGGTAAACATTATACACTAGCATAAAAGCCCATCAAAAATGACAAGTAAAATAGGCTACTTGTTATAGGGTGCCATGTTTCTGCTATCCACTGTGTCATTACCAACTCAAGCTGTTCTGCCTGGTCATCTTCTATACAATGGGTATCCATCAACATTTCCAAGTGTCTCCTCTCTAAACTCCTTTGAATATTTCTTCAGACGTTGATGATTTTCCATGCATGGTGCATTTGGATTCATTCCTCCATATAGTTCATGAATCATACATCTCATCACAATGATCTTTGCTCAACAGGCAATGCACTGTTGTACGATCAAATATTTGTTTTAAAGTTCTGGTAATGCTCGTTGTTCTGACTCATCAAGTCCCACGAATATTCTGGAAACGGTCTTCTTGGAGGCAGAATCACTTTACCCTTATGACAACAACTCTGGAATTGGCCATCTGATGGTCTTTCAGCTTGGAAGTTTAAGGAGTTACAAAATTGGCATACCACGTTCATCAATCCACAACTATATTCCTCAGTCTTGTCTTCAGTGAATCTATTGCTGCCTACCATTTCAGCCTGTCCTCTCTTGCCTCTGCATACCCTTGGCCTTTCCATTGCATCTCTTCTATGACATCCTCTTTGGTCATCTGTTTCGTTTTTGACTTACTCTTGCCGTTCTTTCTGCATTCAATTGCTGACTATTCTCTGCTTCACCTTGGTAAGGGTGTTACAGGTTTTAGTTAAAGTAAGGGCATTAAGGGACACTTTTTGCTCGGATACCGAGAGTACGTCATAACCAATTGAAATCAGTCGCTACAAGTCCAGAAACGTGATTGCAAATATGTTTTTTTGAGCATGATACAGACAGAATGACCAAGGCAAAAACGAAGCAAACTATTATAGAGGATGGTTGTAAGCTTGTTGGGTAGGGACTTGGTTCTATGTTTGCAAATGAAAGGCCTGATTCTTTTGAGTCTAGGCCTTTGGCTACTTATAGAAGTAATAGATTAAAGGATAAAAACCACAAGGTGTTAAAAGGCATGGTGGATCTACAGAACCAGACAATGGTAGGGCTGGAAGAGACCCCTCGGATCACCTAACCCCAACGCACTGCCCAGATGCAGGGTGCGCACCATTCAGGACATAAGCACACCACGGATTTCATAACGCACCACACCCAGCCCACGGGTCCGAACTCCACCCCGCCTCAGGCTGGCGGAGCACTGCGCATGAGCCCATATGGCACGTCCCTTCCCCGGAAGTAGGCGGGGCTAAGAAAGGCGCTGGAGCCTTACTGCGCGCATTGCCCATGCGCGGTGGGGCGTTGCGCGTTTAGGGTGCGTCATCGCGGTGCGTAAGCATTACGTAACCCTGTTGTGACGTCGCCGGGCTTGAGGGCTCCCGTTGTTCTCCCCTGTCGCTCCGCAGCCTGCGCCTGGCTGTCGCGGGGTGGCTCGTTGCGGGGCCGGCGCGGCGCGGGGTGCGGAGGAGCGGGCGCGGGGTTTATGGCGGCGGCACTGTCCGCCCTGGCTGCCAGGCTGTCGCAGTCGGCCGCCGCCAGGTCCTACGGCGTGTTCTGCAAGGGGCTGACCCGGACCCTGCTCATCTTCTTTGACCTGGCCTGGAAGCTCCGCATCAACTTCCCCTACCTCTACATCGTGGCCTCTATGATGCTCAACGTGCGGCTGCAGGTGAATGCGGCGGGGGCGCTGCTCCCTCCCCCTCACTTGCCGCTCTGCGCCCGAGGGAAGGGGCCGAGGGGAGAAGCGAAGGGCCGGGCCGGCAGAGAGGCTGGTCCGCTGTCAGGGAGGCTCCTTCATCGCAGCTGGGTTCAAAGAGCCTTGAAAAATCCACAGTTGGAAAACGCGCCCCCCCAGTCCCTGCCCCTTAGCTTCATCCAGAGCGATAAGAAAACACTCAGATAAGAAAACACCCAGACGCGGGGTTGCCAAATCCACCTACTGTGCCAGCAGCTTCAGTGGCATCCGTAAAGACTCGAGTATCCCCCGGTTTAATTCTCCCCTATTAATGCGTCCTCAGATAGAGTCTGTCCCAGTCTGGAGTTTGCGCTTCCCTCTAGTGCCTGCGACTTGCCAAGTCTCTGAGCAGGCAGGAGCTGAGGGTCCAGTTGTCTTTTATTCTGTCCTGAAGAGCACTGAGGATTGATCCCAGTCAGTGGTAGAGGTCTGTGGGCTGTGCTGTGACTCATTTGAGATGCGCTCCACTGTCTTGCTGTTTAAATTTGGCTGAGCCTGTTGCAATTATGTTCTGATTAGATCTCTTATGCGTCTCATAGCAGAGCTTGTGGTGGTTAGTGAGGAGCAGGCCTTTCCCTGAGCTGGAATAGATTATCCTGTTGAATGCATGAGACATTCCCTATGTCGTGTTCCAGAGATGTTCCTCTGGTAAATTAAGTTTTGCCCACAAGCAGCACAACTGTCTAGTTAGTCTTAAAAAAGTAGTTTTGGGGTAGAGACTTCCTTTAAAATGAACTAAAAGGCGTCACGTAAAACCCTGACTTGCATTTAAAATGTAAGCGTTTTAAATTGCAATTTAGTGTAAATTATTTTCAGCCTGTTCCTGACACACACATTTTGGCCGGTAGGAATTGAAGTCTTGTGTTGTATATCATCTTTATCACCACACTTTACTGTATAAAAGCATGATTCAACTCACGCAGAAGTCCATGAAAGTTTTGCTATTGGCTCTGCTCAAAATTTCATGATAGCTGACTGAAGATTGCAGCTAAAGGAAAAGACAGTGCTGGTATAGCAAGTTTCTAAAGGCTGGGTTGTGGCACTGCATTGGGGGACAAGTCTACTGTTGCCACTTATGAGATCTTGGATGAAAAACTTGCTTTTGAATCAAGCAAATAATCTCTCCGTGTCAGTCATTTTTCTGTATGAATCGGGCAGTTGACAGTAAGACATGGAGCCTCTCTCTTCTTGCACCTATTTATGCTTTAGCTCTTAACGTTCATAACTAGACATAGTTACATTCTAAACTTGTTTGATATTCACCCTCACCCTGGGTTGGAAGATTGCCTGTGGCTGATCCTAATATTCATCTTTTAATCCTTAAAGAAAAATTACATTTTAAAAATGGAGCAGAAAAGTCAATCTTGGATCACTTTCTTTGAAATAGCAAGATGAATTATGTAAACTGTACTCTTATGCAGTAAGTTTTCTGTCATCTAATTTGTGGAATCACCTTTAATGGTTTTCATCTCTCAGTAAAGGAAAGCTCCTGAATGTAAACCCCCCCAAAGTGGGAAATAACATGTGCATGTGAATAGAAGAAGGACACTTGGGACAGAAGGACACTTTCTAATTTGTTGTCATTGTTTGAACACATTTGAAAACATATCTGTTAAATGAAAAGTATAGGTACTTACCTGCGGCAATATTGTTTCCTCTGAGCTACTTTCTGCAATTGATCTTTTTATTAAATGGAGGTTACAATATACTATCCAGTAAAATTAATGAAGTAGTTCCAATCTGACACACAGGAATATTACAGGGGGGGCTTTCTGGGATGGGATTGGGGTTTTTTATTTAAATAATCATTACATGAATTCTGTATTTCTTTTTTCAGGTTCATATTGAGATACACTGACTTGTGACTTGGTGTGCTTCTTATGCTTCAAGGATAGTTAATCAAATCTTGTATTCCTGTTTCATAAAATGCAACGTTTTTGAAGGAGAGGAGCTGTGCATATCTCCTATATGAATATGGAGGAGGAAGAAGATTTAGACAACAAACAGTTATGCAAAACTGGTCCAAATCAGCAAAAGGAGATTCTTCACTTTCCAGATATACACTCCCTGAATAACTCTCAAGCTGCTCCTTTTAAGATTAGGCATTGTTCTCTATTTATACCTTTGCTTCATATTGGCAAGAAAATGCCTCATTTGAGCAAATTGACTAGGATGAGTTCAAGTATAGCTGCCTCTTCTGGTCTCTTTATTTCACCTCTAAGAGAGCAATTTGATAACTGTTTTAATAGTGCTTTGATATCAAATTGGCTGGAGAAAGCTCATAATTCCATTACTGACTTGGATGCTTTATGCTCCATTGGAGACAGCTGTGAATGCTTTGCACATTTCTGGTTTTCTGAACTACAATATGATTCAAAACTGCAGTTATTGGAATTAGAAATGAGCCTAATTGATGATGAATTGCAGCTTGCATTTCTTGAGGGGTTGGACTCTGACTTGCAGCCTTCTGATTTGCATTTCGTCTTTGCTGCCACACTGAGTGAATATCCCATGGAACTCCTGAACAAACAGAAACCATATGTTTTCCTTGACTATTTAAACCTGTTATCTTCAGAGCAAACAACTGGATATAATAATGTTATGCTTTCAAGCATAAATTATACAACAGCTAATCCTCAGCTATCTCAGTGGTTGTTAGCTGTACAAGCTTTTGCACTAACAAATCTGTGGCATGCAGTAGTACAGGTAAAAACAAAACAGTGCTGAAATTTTATTACTGGCTGTTTTTAAGACTAATAGAAAGATATCTGACTAAATCAAAGATAGTGTTGAGACAAAGTTACCATTCATGTTCCAACACAATATCTAGACAACTAAAATTAAATCACACTTCTAAACTGCTAGTGAAATGGACTATCTAATAAAAGGGAATGTTTTTATACACATACAGCTGGATTTCAGGGTCAAGAGGATTTTAATTTTAGTTTGAATAGGGACTTGGCTTTCAAGATAAAAACAGGCTAGACTTTATTTTTACAAATGTTTTAGGGGTGTGTGTGTGTGTGTGTGTGTGTGTGTGTGTAAAGGGTCTAGGCCAAATGGGTACTCTGTCTGGTGTTAACTACTGTCCTGTTGCTAGTGGAAGTCTGTCATAGTGCCTTTTTTTACTTTGAATCCAGAAGTTATTATCGGGATAAGTATCTTGCCATCAGTTTCTGATCTTTCTTGTAAGAACTTTGGTATTGGCCAGTTCTCAAAATTAGCTCTTTTCAGGAATAACTAAAAGAGGTGGTATTGCTTCCATTCTGTAAAGATAAAGTTTCTCCATCGATACTTTTATGGCTTTGCACACTTCCAGGTGTCTGAACTATAGTATAATTCAAAACTACAATTACTTGGAAATAGAAATGAGCCTAACTGGAGGTCTTTCAGTGCCTCCATTATAAGCACTTATTTTCAGGGTTTATATATTTCAGTTCCTTTAAAAACAAAACATACCCCACCAACTCCCTTTTGTAACTGAAACAAGCTATAATTATAAAGCTAATTCTCTAGGTTTAGTTGATATGAGCAGAATGTAGAGGCCTGGAAGTATGTGCAAAAATAGTTCAAAATGCAATTCTTGTATTCCCCTAGTCCTGCAGCAGCTTCTGCTGATCTGATACCCCTATGTCTAAAGGCTATGCTTAAATTAGGCTGGCTGCAGGCAAGTCTTCAGGGACCAAAATGGGGCTGGCAATGGGTAAAGCAAAGTGAATTATGTCCATGTCCCCTTTTTCCTGCCACTTGTACATGGTGGTATATAAAGCCTTACAGTAACTCTACACTATTGGAAGTACCATCCTGTTTCAGAAGGGTAGTCCTTTCTCAGGTGCTGAATTTGGTTTTTGGACAAAACACCAACAAATGAAGCTGCCTATCTTTGTTCATGAGTGGTTCTATTGATTCCTCCTTCATGTGGAGAAGGGTTTTTGTAGAAATACCTAAAGATTTGTCTATACTGGGAAGGCAGGGTGTGAATTTACAGCAGGTCAGTTACTTTGTTCTAACTGTCCATGTGGATGCTTAGCATGCAGTAAGTACACAAGAGCTTATTCTGCCACTTGGCTGCTTGCAGATGTTAAAAAAAATAAAAAACCCAACCAAACAAACCTAAAAAATGGTACGCTAACTTTAAACTTGGCACACTTCTATGTTTAGCCCAGCACATGCCCAGAAGAGGCAGTGTGTTAATTGGATCTAGCTTGCTTGATGTCTGAATGGATTGGGTGCTTTAGTGGAGCATTTTTGGCACATTTTGTCTAATAGCTGATTGACTCAGCTTTAGATAAAGTGCCAAAAAGCCCTGTTGAAGCTCCTGATCTATACAGACACTTTGGGGCCAAGTCCAAGTAACACACTGCTCCTTCCAGTAAAACACAGCTTTTGTTTTGTTTTACTTTTAACGTCTGCAAGCAGCCCTTGTGCTTGTTGCGTGCAGAGGTGTTCATTTGGGAAATTAGTGCAAAATAGCTAGCATGTTGTAAATTTATATCCTGGTTTACTGCATAGAAATTCCCTTGTTTAGACACATTCTACCAGTGCCTTTGTGTGAGGTAGCTTACCCCACGTTCCTACTTATGACATGCTAAGTGTCCACATTGGGGGTTAGGACCCCCCCCCCCCATCCCCATGTAGTAGTCATGGATGATGGGTTGTAAACAGCTGTGAGGAAGCTGTTGCTATGTCAGAAATTGGATTTTGTTTAACAGACCAGTGAAACCATTATAATGTGTCACGTAACAGATCTTACATTTTAGTAGAAGGGTTTGAGAATTAAACGTGAGAGGTAAGAATCAAACCATTATCTTGGTAATGAAAATGTTAGAAATGCAAGAGTATTGTTTACCTTTAAAAATCAGTCAACAAGTCCCAAGTTGTGAGCGAGAATTGTTAATTATTTTAGGTACAACTTATTTTAGATGGTGCTGACTTCTAGGGTTTCTCTTGTTCTGCTATGACATGTAGGCAGAGAGAACAAATGGAAGACTTAAATGGAACTGTCTTTAAAGATGTCTGTGGCAGGGTGCTTGTAGCTGACTTCAATTTTTGCTGAAGTAATGCTAACAAGTTCTTCTATGAGTAGACTTTGCAACATTGGATAAATAAGCTACAGGTCTGAGAATCTAGTGTTTTCTTAGGCAAAACTGTGGGGTTTTTTGTTGTTTTTTTTTTTTTTTAATTGTGGGAGTGGCCTTTAGCCTTCATTACAAGGTCAATTTAAATGAGTTACAATATGTGTAAGTGAGGTGAGCTGATGAGCGATATCTGTAACATCCATAATTTTAATGTACAATTTTTTTAAAGTTTCTCTTGATGCACAGTGGATGAAATCCACTCCAGTAGCATTTTAAGCTTGCTTTGAATTTTGACTGCTGGAAACCTAAACAGTAACTTTGTAACTTGAACATTCCTTCTGAGATTAAAACCATCTTTTCTTTTGATACGGTAACATCTTACATAATGCCGTATGCTGCACTGTAAGTTTGGCAAAGCATTAATTGAAAGCAGTATTCTTGCACTAGTTGAACCGTGTGACTGGCAGAGACAGCTCTTGGGATTGTCCACTCCCCCTTGGAAGGGAGAATAGTTTACCAAAGGAAAGTCCTGCATGGCATATGAAAAAAAACAAAACAAAAAAACGTGGCTGTTGCATGCACCACACTTCTTATTATTTATTATTATTATTATTATTATTATAACTGACTTGATGTTAGGTCTTCTCAAGAAGCAAAATTTCTGGACTAAGAATCCACTGTACCAACTTACAGGGAATTTTGTGGCTTCAATAAGTTGAATCTAGGAATTGCTTGTCATAAATGCTCTGCTAAGGGCTGAGACTGTCATGGGCAATCTGTTATAGTAGAGAAGATTGCCTTGTTTTAAGTGATGGAAGAGCATTTTTTAAGAAGGCATCCTCCAGTTCATCATTATTTCTATTTGTTCATTTGTGAAACTGTTGGTATTGAGCATATGTATATTTAAAACATCAGTGTAAGAGCATTACATTAAGTGAACCATCTTACATTTTAAAGTGCAGTCTTATAAGGTATTGCTTAGTATTCTGCTCGTTCCTGAACCGTTCATCAAGAATTCTGTTTCTGCCACTAGAAAGCAACCAAATGATGTGGTTAAAGAAAGGTAAGAAAATATGAAATATTCTAAAGCATATTAATAAATCACTTTTCATAAACAATGTCTTATTTAGGTGGAATTAGAACCAATAGTGCACTGTTTTTAATTCGCGTATGCCTGCCAAAGCTATAAATGTATAGGTAAAACCACAGCACCATGTGGCGCAGGGATGCTTGTGTAAACTGTATTGGCACTTTACTCTTACCAAACACAAAAAACAGTAGAAATTTTATATAGGTACTGATTTACTGATGTGGCTAGTGGCTAATGGCATTCATAGCCTCTACCGAGGTAATCATCATGCATCATAAGGAAGCCGTATAGACCCAGGCAAGAAACACCTGGGACATTTGTGGGAACTAATATTCCACAGAACTTGGCCTCTGGTAAGGGCTGTACTATCTGAAATGTCTTTCAGTGCATATTGCAGAAAAAGTGCTTCTTTTTTTTTAGGGTTAGACTCTTATCTACTCTAATATTTATTACCCAACTAGTGTGTGCATGTGGGCTGGGAGAGAGGGGAAATATTTTGACTGTATAAGCCTACTGGCTAGGCTTCCCTCCCCATCACCCCCTTTCTAACACGTCCTCCTCTAGTTTTTTCTGTATTTTGTTAAATCATGAGAAATTAGCAAAAAATCTGCAGAGATGTCCATATCTGTTTTCTGTCACGAGAGTTTTTCTGTTTACCTCTTAGCCCAGGGATGGCAACTTGTGGGACACATGCCACAAGTGGCAAGGGCAGCCTGTCTGTGGCATGCATCAGACTGGAGGGGGGACAGGCAGCACAGCAGCAGAAAAGGCAGGGAGCAGAAAGCAAAGCAGCCTGTCTGGCAGGGAGAAGGGATTTGAGTGACACTTTGGGAGGGCGTGGGCCTAGCTTGTGATATATATGCCATATAGATTGGCCCCCACTGTCTTAACCAATCAGATGTACCACCTAAGTGGTAAACCCATTCTATTTGCTGTTTTCCCGAGATTGCTGCTTTGAAGAAAAGAGTCCCAAACCCCACTGCATGGCTATTCTCTTATAACTGTGAACTGAAACTTACTTATGCTGTCAGACACTTGTGGGCAATCAGTTCTGTAGAAGCTGGAAGCTAGAACCCAAACCTCCCACACCAGCTTCTGTGCTATTAGAGTTTTTGATTGAGAGCTTTGGTAACTTAAAAGTTCATAGGAACTTTGTTTGACTTTACTTGGTTAAAATAGTTTTTTTAAGAGTGTTTTGAATATGGATTGTTTTTATGACATGACTCTCTTGCCATTTTTGTCCCACAATATTTGAAAGAGCCTGCTTAAGCTTTTAGACCAAGTAACACTATTAATCCATACTCCTTACTAAGTGTTAACATGATCAATTTTTTTCAAGTTTATAGCCTGAAATATATTTTTAATCTAAAGATGTATTTGATAGTTTCCCAATAAAAAACAGTAATTTTTGAAAAGATATAATCTTTGGCATGTTCATACTTCCTGATTGTCAACTTTTCTCATATTAAATGCAAGAGGAATGTTTGGCTATCCACCTTGTTTTCATACCCAAATGCCAGGAGAAAAAAAAAAAGGAAGAAAGCAATTGCTTGAATATCATGCTTTTAAATCCTTTTGTTCAATCCCTTTGTTTAATTTTTGGATTAGCATCTAGTTTTGGGTTGGGCCTGCATTACCTGTATGCTCAAATTGCCCTGACAACATCAGTGGAAGTCCAGGCTAAACATGTGATGTAGAACTAGGCCCTGTATGTTTCTGATGTCTGTGAAAGGG